GACTCAACACACGACTCAACTATTTATATTACTAAGACTCCATTAATTAATAATAGGTAATCATTATTTTTATTCATTGGATTATGCAATAGACAAGGTTGTCCAACCCATGCTCCATTTGGAACATCAATAAAAGAAAAACCCCATGCCTCCTTTCGGAAACATCAATAAACATCTAACGACCACGGGCGCGACTCCGTGACCGTAGTTAGTATGAGATCTCACCTAACTCCTAGTTTTGAAAAATATTTGAAATAAGAGACTCGTAGATCAGACGGCCTCGAGAAAAGTACACGGCTAATACCCCATGTACCCCAACCCCTGATTGTCATTACTCCAGAAGTGCACCAATCCAGAGTTTTATTGCTCATCCATCTTGCACTTTACGTGATTTACAGGTTTAGACTTGGTGATGACTCATATGCATTACAATACAATCAATCCAATATCAATTCAATCAAGTAAAACAACTTTTCAATTTCAATTCTTGATTTATCAAGTGGCAAGCAACATTTATTATTTATTCCTTTATTACTACCTCGGTGTATAAACACCTTGAGTGCATAAGGCACCCCAAAACCTTAACCTCGTCTTAGAAGACTTAAATTCTTCCTTTATTCATCCTGCTTGCATAATTATGAATGAGTAATAAATTAATCATTACACCAATCATATACCTTTGCCTCTAACCGCACCTTGCATAATTAGAGGACAAATAATACTTGCAATATAAAATAGTGCACGTCATACGAAATTCACAATGTATAACCAAACAATTTAACTCAGTCATCCCTATACATGATACTAAGTTCTCGATCCGTCGTCCTTAAACATGCACCTAAAAGAAAGGTTTCGTAACTTGTACGTACCTTGAGCAAACGAATTGGTATGCCACTTTACTAACTAGAAATCACCTTCAATAAACTCCTCTCCTAAGCAAAATAATAACATCTCAATCAATACCCAATCAATCAAATTTACAGCAATACTAACTTACTTTAAAACCTTCAAAATTCAAATCAAACAACACTTTAAAACCTTCCCTTTAGTTAAAATTAAAGGCTTATATATAGTTCTTTAAATTTTCTTCATAAAAACCTTAAAATACACTCTTATACATGAAATTACAGCAAGTTCAAAGTCTAATAAAAATCTGAAAATTATATAAAAACCCCTAAAAATCTCCCTTTTTAATGGGTGATTAAACCCTCTTTATAAAACATCAAAAGTAGTACTTAGAAACTATTTCCAACACTTAAAACTTCAATAAAAACATATATTTATGCTTAATTAACTTTAAACATAATTAAATTTATTAATCAAACTCAAGGATAATATTTGAAGTATAAAAAAACTTCGTTAAAATCAAAAACTGCTCGAAAATCATATTTAGAGGCTGAATTTGGCCACGAGAAGGATTAAAATCGTATGAGTTCAGAATCGTATGAGTTCAGAATCTGATCGGGATTAAAACGAGATTAATATTAACGAACGAAAATCTAAAAATTAAAACACGAATCTACGTGTTCAAAATAATCTGGAATTAAGTTAAACTAATCAGTAGTTAATAGTTATAATCACCAAAATTTCAAAACATCATTACTATAAAAGCCCTAAATCAATTGTTCATAAAAACCCTAAAATCATGATTTTCAATAAATTGAAACCCTAGGTTTATAATTCATAAAATATGAAATTTATAACATAAATATAATCTGAAATTTATAATCTTTATACCATTAAAATATAATTTGATACTAAAAATATAATCTTTATACTAAAATCAAAACCTAAAACAATTAAATTAACATTAAGCAAAATAATGAAACAAAGGAGGATGAAAATAAGACTAACCTTTTTTGTGTGGGAAATTTTTGGAGATTCATGGGGTATTTATAGGAGAGAATTATTGTAGGGTAAAAAGAAATATTGGGCCTCAGAAAAATAATGGGTCGATTAAGTAAACAAATGGGTTAGGCTTGTGTGATTGGACATAAATTGTAGAATAAAGGTGCATAAAATAATTTGTTTAAATAATTTTCGACCCAGATTAATAATTTGAAACTTTTGAAATTAAATTATGAAAAATAACAAATAAATATTATAAATAAAATAATTTTTCATTTATAAAATATTTAAAAATACGGGGGATTACACCTATACTTCATTTTTTGTCCAACGGGATAATTGTAGCTAACCCGAGCCCTTTTATACGGGCTTGATAAATTGTCCAAGCCCACTCTATTAACGGGTCGGGCTTGCCTGCGGGCTCACGGGCCTAAAATATTTGTTTTACATATATTTAACACTAATTATTTTTTTTTTATCATTTACATGTGTTAATATTATTTCGATTTAGTTATCTTAAAAATTTCTTGATCACTAATGATACTAGAAAAAAACATATTTAACTTGTGACATATGTTAGTGAAAAAAAGGAAAGAATGAACTTATTTAATACAAGTATAATGATTAAATATAAAATTGAAATAAATAGTTGTAGCTAATAATAGGTTAGAGTCCAATATAGTCTCTTTGTCTTTATTTTCTAAAATATACTACATAATCAACTAACTAAAAAATCATTAAACGATTACTTTTTAAATAAACGGGCCGGGCGGGCTAGCCCACGGTACATATTGTCTTGTCCGTGTCCGCCCATTTATATTAACGGGTCGGGCCTAGCCCGCCCAAATTAACATTTTTTTTCAAAATGGTTGTCCAAGCCCGCTTATTTTGCGGGCCGGGTTGGGCATGAACAACTCTACTTTCAACCTTGATTGGCACCAACAATAATGTATTCACAACAGAAGCTTCAAGTCTTCACAAGGGAATCATCCTTGTCCTCCCAACAGTGAATACAAAGTATACACATTGAAGGAGACAACTTGCTAGTTATCAAAACAGCGAAAGCTATTTGGTCTATCTCGTGGCCAGTGACGGATCCAGGATTTTCGCTTAGGTATGATGTGTCACCGTCACTTATCATCCGCATACCAATCAATATCTCGAGTATTTTTTCTTTTCATTCCGAAATTAAAGTTAAAGTTTAAATTAGATAACAATATGAAATTATTATTCTTGTAATAGTTTGCTAACAAACTAAGACATCCTTATATATAAATAAAACTCCATTCACAAATCACGAATTCACAATTTATATAATACACCGTAGTATCTTTAATAACAATCAGATAATTACACAATTTATACAATAACTAATCAAGTTAAAACCCCAAGTGTGAATATAAATAATAATCAATACAAAACAATACCTTTAAATAATTTATAAGCTTTACAAACTGAATTAAAACCACAAAATTAACAACATAAAGTTATATAAAGCAATTAGCATAAGGAAATAAGGATTGCTTAGCAAGAACACCCATAATTATTCATAAAAATACCCAAATTCAAATTTAAAAATTTGTAATTTAATTAGGGTTATTAAATTACTTGAGTTTTGTAGTAAATGGGTAGTCAATGGAGCTACGAAGATGATCTTAAAGCCAACTGTCGATGGGTGTGATCAGAACAGTGAGTTAATACTTGAAATTGTGAAGGTTGATTTTTTTTATTATTATTTTTTTAAGGGGGAAATATCCTAAGAAAGTAATAAGGTAAAAAAATTACAATAGAAAAGAGATTGGGAAACTATCAAACAATTGTATGACAAAAAGTACTTTCAAATTTTTCTTTTTTCTTTTTCATAAAACTGTTTATGATTTTACGTGATAAAACTACTTATTAGTTATTACTAGGAGTCTTGAGTCTAGGAGTAGTACTATACTCCACTGACTTCGCCTCTTCAGATTTCATATTTGAGTTTACATGTTTAATTTTTATTTTTTTTAAAATTAATCCTGTGTCATGGGACCAACCATGACTAAAGGTGGGTCCGCCCCTACCCGTGGCAGATTGATCATGTTATAGAAAATATCAAGATCTTACTTTACAGATTGTCCCATTAGAAAATTTGACATGTTTACAAAGAACCAAATAAAACGACATATTAGACTACAAATATTGGGCATAATGTCGATGGATATTTCTTTTTGCTTGTTATACTTCTTCTTTGTACCCTATTATTTCCTTAAAAGCTTTTGGATCGCCCCTCATAAGAAGGGGGTCCTAATTATATCTTTGTTTTACGGACTAAGGCCTTGTTTGATTCACCTTAATTTTGCCGAACTGAAATTATTTTTACTGAACTGAACTTATTTTTACTGAACTGAACTTAATTTTACTGAACTTAAATTATTTTTACTGAACTGAAATTATTTTTACTAATTTTCTATTATAATTCTTCTCTAAGAAAACTGAATTTTACTGAACTGAACTTAACTAAAATTATTTTTATTGAACTGAAATTAATTTAACTGAACTAAACTTATTTTTACTGAACTGAAATTATTTTTGCTTAATATTATTTTTTTAAGGTGAAGAGAATAGGGCCTAATTCTTTTCTTTTTACTTATCCATAAACAAGGTTAAAATCCCGTGCAATGCACGATTGTTAAATATTTTTGCCAATAATATTACAAAATACGTAGTATAAAATATTTAAAAGATATTCAGAAATATTTCATTTGTGTATATATGAAATATGATTGTCAAATTGGATTTATAATCATAAGGTTTAAATAGTTTATTTATAGGTTTTGCAAAATAAAAAAAAATAAAAAATAAAAAACGTGAAATTTTTTTACAAAGTGATGGCAAGTGTCAGGAAAGGATGTGCTTTTAAATACTTCAATTCCTCCGTTACACATTATGTGCAACAAACCTTGTTGCACGTTTCCAAAGATAAAATTTGTTAATAGGTGATTAACAAAGTAAAGGGTTTGTGATTAAGGGTAGGAGAGAGAAAGGGGGAAAATTAATCAGCCAGACAGCCACCACCATCCACCAGCAGCAACATCCACCACGCCCACCACCCACCAACATCCACCACGCCCACCACCCACATCTACCCACACCCCGAAACCACCACCACCTCATCCCGTAATCACCAACCACCACCACCCCATCCCGTCTCATCACCATAACCATCAAAACCCAGTCATCATCGCCAAGATCCAAAACCCCAACCCACCCAAATCACAGACACAACCAAGATCTGAAACCCCTCCATAAACACCGAAAACCAACCTCAACCAATTCGCAGCCAAACAAAACCTGATCAATTTTTAGGGTTCAATTTTGAGGATGATTGGTGGCTATAAAAAAGGGGAAAAAGAGTCGACGATGACTTTGACGAGGGAAAATAGGGCTGGTGACTCGATCGACGGTGGTTTTTGGAGAAGAAAAAAGAAAGAGAAGCGACTTTTGGGTTAGGTGTGGTTGGTCGGAAATTATATGGGAATTTCAGGGCGGCAGTGATGGAGTTGGAGTTCGAGGTTATGGGTGGCCGACTGGGTGGGGCATTTTGGCCTGAAGGTGGGCTGGGGTCGTGGCAGAAGAGAAGAGAGTGAGAAGTAGTTGTGGTTGTGGTGGTGATGGTTGTTGTGGTGGTGGTTGTTATGGAGGTGAGTGAACAGTTGGTGATGATGGCGGTGGATAGGTTGTGAGGGAGGAGAGAGATTAAGATTAGGGATTTTATCATAAATGAATTAATTTAGTTTAATATAATAATAACATATAATCTTATTAATTTAATGGGTGTTATTGAACTTAAGTAAGGGGATATTAGTCATTTTACACAAAAATATTTATTATAAATGGAAATTTTTACTTTGTTGCACATAATGTGTAACTTCCATTTTTAAAAATTGTTGCACTAACGGAGTAAGTAGGTTAATAGATAGATAGATGCATTGAAAAAAAAAAACATTTATCACAACAAAGCACTTGTAATTAAAAAAATAAAATAAGAATCGTCACAAAAAAGTCTTTTCCCTTAAATCAGAAGCCGTGGAGGCTAAGTATCGAAACAGCCCCTTACCTTTGGCCCCATAAATTCTCTCTCCTCTTTCCTAATATCCACAATTACACATCTTCGGGGGGGAAAAAAAAAACTCAAAACCCTCGCATTGACTTGTTTAAATATTCAACCTTTTTGCATTCAATCACACCTATTGCTACAGATTACCCAAATTTCAGTTAATTTTGTTTATTAATTTATCAATGGATGATCGAACTTGGAACTTTTCCCTCTCTACTTCTTCTTCCAAGTACAATCAGTCTTACTCTGGTAAAGCTCTAAACTTTGTTGAATTGGGTTTTTTTTTAATTCGTGTTTTATGGGTGTTAATCGAGTTCAATTTGGTTATGATTAATGGGTTTATGTTGATTGTTTCTGGGTATTTCTCAATTTTAATTTTTGGATGGTTCAGATAATTTATTGGAATATGAAGAATTTGATGGAGATACTGATGAAATTGAGGTAGATTATCCGTGCCCCTTTTGCTCTGAGGATTTCGATATTGTTGGATTATGCTGTCATATTGAAGAGGAGCATTATGATGAATCTAAACGAGGGGTATGCTGTTTTCTGCTGTTTGTTATTTCTTTCAATTAGTTTGATTGACTGCTAATTGTAGGTTGTATGATTGTGATTTCGTGTTCTGTTTATAGGAATTTTAGATAGATTAAGTTGAGTGTATTATGGAATTGCCCGTTTTTTGTTTTATCATGTTGCTAGCTTCATAAGTATCGTCGAGACGTATTAGAGATAGGTCCATTGCTGGGAAAGTTAGTTTGGGATTTCTTTAAGATTACAGTTAGGCTAAAAATGATTTGATGATGAATACTGAGATAGTGAATTATGATGGGAGGGATTTTTAAGTGGGTTTTGACTTTCGACGTCATCTTTGTAGATTAACATTCTTTGACTGATGGTTGATATGTAGACTTCACACAGTTTTTTGACTGACACTTAATGGCCTTTGTTTTGTTAAATTTGCCTTGAAATGGATGTCCAATGTGTTTTATTGTTTATTGTGTCATGAATTTGATGTATAGTTTGGGTATAGGAATTTTATTGTCAGCTTGAATTTGCCATAAATGGTTAGGTCCTTAGGAAGCTGAGGTCCTCCCCACCCTTCACCAAGATTGCTTTGATGCAGACTAAAGCTATAAGGATTTCATTTAATGGCCTTTTGCCATTTTTGATGGAATCTACAGAAACTTGAACAATATTTAGAGGATTTTTTAGGGTTTTGGGGGAAGGTTAAGCAAGAATTTTGCTAGGTTTCTTTGTAATTCAAAGGGGGAAATAAAATGGTGGATTTTTTGTGTGTGTTTTGGTAGTTTTATTGGGGAAGTGAGGAGAGAGAGAGAGAGGGCCATCAGCTAATATTTAAGAGTAGTTAGTTTTGTCAAACTTTTCTTCATTATCTGGTTCTGTGTGGTAAAATTGTAGTAGACACAGTCTGATTATTTAAGTACAAATTATATGCCTATATCCTGCAATATCTTCCCTTGTCATTTTTCAATAATTCGAAGCCCAGACAAGAAAATTAAAACCTCTATTGAAAAAAAAGAAAAAGAAAAGAGTTTGCTATAGTGGATGAAACATTGCAAGGTTGGGATAAAAGATAGTCGTAATTGAAGTATTTTCCAAACAAGTAAATCTTTTAAAAGCCAATAAATAGGATTAAAACTGATTAAATAATGCAATGACAAACAAAGCTACGGATCTTTGCCACACGTGCCTGCATTGTGGGCAGTACTGCAAATATGCAATAGCCCACGTAGTTTACCCTGATATGCGAAGCCTAAACTTTTCTAGACATCTTTGCCACCAAAGTGCATGGCCATTATACCTATGGTGTATACTATTTTCTTCAAAATTGCATGGCCTATCTTCCTGTGTTGTGTACATATATTATGAGCATTGTTCTTGGTCATAACATGCATAAATTTACCCCAACATGCTAAACCTAAGCTTTTCTCAACTTAAATGTCAGATGATTGCATGACCTTTTTACCTGTGGTAATCACAGTGAAAGATTGCAGCCTAATAATTTCCCCTTCACTTCAAACTCTGATGTGTAGATTTTAATAATGTTGACACTTTTGACAGGTTTGTCCCATGTGTGGAACAAGCGTTGGAGCAGACCTGGTTGAGCACATAGCTTTTCAGCATGAAAACATCTATAAGATATCCTTTTTTTCTCATTAATTTGGATGCTAGTGGTTCGTTGTGCGTTTAAAATAATTTGCACTCTGCGCATAGTTAAAAATTTGCTGAAATGGTCTTGTAGTCATGGAACAGCTTGTGACAAATGAATAGAAAGGACAGTTAATGCGGCTTGAATTCTTTCAAAAAGTTCACATTAATAGCTTAGAGCCTCGTTTACAATTCCTAATATTAATATGTACTATATATATCTAATAACCAAAACTATCATAATATGGGTGGGTAACTTATATGGTGGACACAAAATTACTTGAGATACCATATTCTATGAACTGCATAATAAGTTACTAAAATATTTGGTCAATTCAGATAAAATAATGGATTGGCGAAAAAAGCGTTTTAATGCAACGGAGTCAACATCATGTAAGATGTAACAGGTGACATGAGAAGAAAGATGTGAATTCTATTGTGGAATTATGTAACATGATTTTGTGAAACAAATTGCACACTTTAAGAATTTTTTCTTTTGTAAACCCAGTAAGAAACTACTGGTTGCAGTAGGGTTGATACATAAAAAAATGGAAAAGAAAAATAAGGTAAACTATACACATTTTCAACCTTAAATATCTTTAATAATACAAGAGTAGAGATTATAATAAGTTGAGACATAGTACTTGGAGAGTAGTTACCAAGATGAATATAATGAGACCCCACATGACTACACTTTCCCTTATTTATGAATCACAATATGTGGTTGAAAAGAAATGTGTGAAACAGGAAGTATATTCTATTGGAATAGGCCCATTCATGCAAGGGTTAGCAAATGTGAGTCTGAGCTTATTTTGTACTGTCTATGTGATCTCAAAGTTATACTAATTATACTACATGTACTCCACTGCCTGTGGACCGTCACTTTCTTACCTGAATGATTGTTTGTGTTTACAGCATTTAAGAAAAGGATTGGAGCTTATGAACTCACATAGGCTTGTTTAGAAAACCCTAGAATCTGATTTTTGTCTGTGCTGCTTTAGATGTAAAAAGCTTGACTTCTTGAGCTCATAGGATGATCTTATACCTCTAATTTATTTTTTCCAGTTGAAAATTTAGATTAATGTTTGTTCATCTCTCACCGTAATATGAAGAAAATTTTCCTTTACTGAGTACTTACAGCGGGAGCAAGACTAGACATAGTCACGGTGATTCTCAGTCTACTCTTGCTTTATTAAGGAAGGAAATGCTAGAGAGAAGTTTGAAATGTCTTCTAGGGAGCTCTTCACCTGTAATTTCTTCCTCTGATGCAGCTGTTGATCAATTGCTCTCATCATTTGTCCGTAGCTATTCAACAACTCCTGAGATCGAAAGCAAGCCATCATGTTCTTCAGTTGATGCACCTGTGAAAGAGGAAGTTGTGGATGAGGATACGCTAGAAAGGTGAGAGATGCTTGGGCTATTTTCCTGATTCATGGTTTAAGGATTATACACTTCTTCCTTCTTGATTCATTTTGGTGTGCGTATGTTACATGGCTTTTGTCTGATGTTAGTATTATTCTTGATCCTAAGTTTTCATGCCTCACTTGGCCGCATCAACCTGCTTTGCGGCATTTTATCTGATGGTAAAACTTCTATGCCTGGTAGGTAATTAGAAGCAATCAATGTATCAACATGCCTTGATTGTTGGAACTCGAAACCTTTTAGGTTTCTCATACCCTTTTGACTCTGGGTGATAATGCATCTCTGATGATGTGGGTGATGTATGACGTGTTAGAGCAACTCCAATGGTTGTAGCTAGGGACTTGCTTGCAATTTCAATATTCCTTAACTACTAGCTTGACCATTGGAGCTAGAAAACTCAATTAGCTTGGCTAAGCAAATTAGCTTGACAAAGCTAATTTGCTTGGGAATTAAACTTGCCAAAATAAAATGTTCTTTGCACCAATTAAGCTCTTTCCATGTATTTTCTAATCCACTACTAGTACTAAGCTAATAGCTATCCATTAGAGCAAAAAGTAGCTAAAATGATAATTAGCTTAAAAGCTTATGTGGCATGGCAAGCTAATTGTTAAATTAGCTTGCCATTGGAGTCGCTCTTAGTCCAACAGTCTATGGCTCTATTCTATTTCGAAGTTAAATAAATTAAAATAATAATAAAAAATCAGACTAGATAAAACTTACATTGATACACATATTGGTGTTATCAGCAGGATAGGTAATTCTCTGAACACAAGTAGTTGTTAATTCAACGGATATAAAGTGGAGACCAGAAAGCAAGGTTTCAGAAATTGGAATTAATCATGGAAACTAAATACAGCTCTCTGTGTGTACAAGGGCTAATCTCTCTCACCTGGGACGATTGAAAAGGCTGTACTTGTTGCCAAAGTGGGTAGAAGACAACAGAAAGGATTCTAAGGGACTTATAAATGACTGAGAATAATGGGAACTCAACAGGAGAATATGTGCTAAAATCGTTGGGCTTTTTCTGGATAATGGGACTAGTAAAATGAAAAGGCTAAAAGTAGAAAAAATAATACTTGTAATATTTTCATAATTAGAAAGATACACAAGATATGTAGGAGGGTTTAGTGTTTCAGAATAGTAATTATAAATGACTGAGAATGATGGGAACTCAACAGGAGAATATGTGCTAAAATCATTGGGATTTTTCTGGATATAATGGGACTAGTGAAATGAAATGGCTAAAAGTATAAATAATAATACTTGTAATATTTTCATAATTAGAAAGATACACAAGCTATGTAGGAGGGTTAGTGTTTCAGAATAGTAATTAGTAACTAACAGAAAGACAAAGTTTACACTTAACAGATAGAACTCCTGTAAATATTTGCTTTGAAGTTAGATCTGGAAAGATTCATATGGCGATTTACCATTCCCCTCACGGATGATGGTTTTGGGATTATGATACCCTCTTAAGGTGGATGATTGAACGAGTAACACTTTTAGCTTGATAGCTTGTTGAAATCTGTGTTTTAAGAGTTAAAATTTGAACAATTTGAACTGTTGTATGAGTCAAGGTACTTAAGTATGTGTTTCTTTGCTTTTGTGAAACCATAATCGTGTCCATATTTTGTACTACCTCTGTGAATAGTTATCTGCAACTTTGGAGTATTCTTTCTGAGATATAAACAATTCCAAAGTTGCAGATAACCATTAACGGAGGTAGTAGATGATCCAATGGTATTCTATATGTTACAATTTTTGGAAATATATATAGCGTGGAGGGGAGGGGTGAAGGAGTAAAAGGTATTTGTTAGTTTGAATTCATCACCCTTCCTCCAAATAGCTGCAATTTCAGCCCTTTTCCCTACTACTCTCTGTACCTGTCAATCTGTCATGTCATTTGTTGCATATAGTCTTTGGTTTCAGCCTTTATCTAGCAACATGCCTGTTATTCAACTTATTTCTTTCAAGTGATAGAAACCTCGGAAACCACCCCTTTTTTTTTCTAAAAATTGCTGCATGTTATAAATACAGTAAATCATCTTGCTACCTCTTCATATTTGGCTGTTCTTGGATTTACAAGCTATTGTGGTTCTGTTGTAATCTATTGCTGAAGAGGGTGCAGTATGTAGGACATCTAACCCAAGTTTTCCTGGACAGGTGGGGGTTTTTATATGCATTGTGGCTAGGGTTAAGGCTTCTGAGTAGTTAAGTCAACATTGGGGTTGCCTTACATTCCTCTGGAAGACTTCAATTCACCAGGATTGATTTCTTCTATCCATACAAAATATGGGTATCTAGTTTGTTAAAAAAATAAAATAAAAATTTGGTTATGTTTATAGTTCCTTAAAATTTGCACTTTGAATTTGCAGTTTATTTTTTTCATTCTCTGCTGGGTAAAGAATAAATCAAGATATAGGTGTTTGTAGTGCTTGTGATAGCTTCTTCAGGCTATTATTAAAGCTCTTTTTGTGTGTGTGTGTGACCAATCTAGACTATGCTATTATGCTATACTTTTTGTTTGTACTTCAATACCTCATTTATCAATTGATCTCTTCCAGAGTGCAACTCCTATTGATGTGTGCCAGTAGAGTAGAAAAGACATTAAGGCATTTTGAATGTGTTTAAACATGAGAATATGAGATACTGGTAATAGGCAGAACATTGAAGAATTACCAAACCATATTAGTCAGATGTGAGTGTGAGAAGTTGCTGAAGTAAAATATGATTTCAGTGCAACTTACTTTGATACAATCAAATCTTACCCTCCCAGGAAACCAATTTGGCAGCTTAAAATTTTCTGAGCTGATGAATATCCAGCTGTAATTGATGTGTCACAGCCTATGTTTCTGGACCAGTCACTATTATTTGCAATTGTCTCGTTATTAGTTTCCACATAATAGGGTGTTTAGTGATGAAGTAGTCACCTGAAAATATTTAAAAAATTCCCCATCATATGTTTGGCAATAGTTACATGTTATTTTGTGCAGGTCTAGAAGAAAGATATATGTTGGACTGGCTTGTGTTTGTTTTACATGTCTAGAAATAGATAGTGCTGGTTCTGGGGCATTGTTGCTTTGAGGTATACTGTCAGTTCAAGGCCAAAGCCTACAGCCATTTCTTGGTGGAGAGAATAGGCAGAGCTCTAATTTAAATGTACCAAGCTTGTATGTGGTTCCTTGTTACAAGTGTCGTGCTTGCTTTGCTCAATTTTGTAGAAACTGGGAATTACCCAATGTTAGACTCTCTGTTTGAATAATTTCTCATAGTTACTGGAATTTTATGTTTTAAAATCTGCCAAAATCTGAATCAGTTATTGACTATATTCTGTAATGGCAGGGGAATGAAAAAATTTGTTATATCCGAGGAGAAGCATGAGGAGCATGCACAAAAATGCAAGTTTATGCAGTCGCTTGTATTTTCTACTATCCTTGATGATGACTTATAGTGGTGACTTTGGGTGGCAATTGTCTCAGCTCTTGCGGAAGAATGCTCCAGCTGTTTTATTTATGGACCTATCCGTGTAACTTCAGATCAGCAATGATATCACTAAGCTAAGTGAATCAGATGAAGAAACCAGGCTACAGCATGTATTGCAATCCGCAATGTAAGAATGTAACACTGCACATAGAAACAAAGTATTTACTGTTGTGATATAGTTTGTACTCTTATCGGATGTGATTTAGAAGATATCAACATTCTTATGTTGTAAGAAAAAGGGTGAATATGGTGTTAGGTTGTAGAGTGGCAGCCATAGATCTCATCTTTCGTCTCTATACCTATGCTTTGACATCGCGTTGTATGAGATGATCATATTACGCTTTATTGTGAGACTAACATGACTATATTCATGAAGTTATTTCTTTACTTGCTATGGAATTAATTTTCATCTAGCTAATACAGATTAACTCCTAGACAATTATCATCATCGTGTGTTCATCTTTGTTGGAGTTTATTGTTAGCCTCGAAAAACATCGGAGGCTAACTGGCTAACGATTAACTGAGCAATATTAGCAGGCCTTAGCAAATTAGGGGCATACGCTAGCTAGTAGGTACTTGTAAAATTTGATTATTCGAAGAGAATGAGAAGATTTGAGAACTCCATAGAAAGTCAAGAATCAGTTTAACAAAAGCTGTTGTTTTTTTTATTCTATGTGTATTGTGCATTGTTTTAACATGATTCCCGCAAAGAATTGAAAACAAAAACATGCGCTTTTTTTTTTTTGTTTTAATAACATCCTCTTCATTTTTTATTTTTTTTTAAAACAATAACATCCTCTTCATTTATTAGGAGACCTTGGTACAAACAACAAGCGCTCGCTCTCTCTCTCTCTCTCTTTTTTTTTTTTTTTTTTAATGGAAAGATAAACAAAAAGTTAGGATAATCCCCTAACCTATCAGAAAAAATAAAAAAAGAAAATAACTATCTATTAATGGATCGATATCTTGGTGAGCTTGCATAAAATGACCCAAAGAAGCAGCATAGCCTTTCCCTGAAAAATATTAGTAATAAGCAAATTATCCCCTTCAAGGCTTCAATAAATACTTTTGAAATATTATGGGCTTGAGCCAAAAGAAGACCATAACAAAGGGCTGTAGCTTCTACAATAAGTAGAGTACTCATACCAATATTAAAAAACGACTACAAACATTATTTCCACTTATCATGCATAAAAGTAAGAAACTCTTCTTTGTGCATAGAAGAGATTTCACAAATTACAAGTTTACAAAATCCACTCAATTTGAACAGTAAGAAACTCTTCTTTGTGCACAGATGAGATTTCAAAAATTACCAGCTTACGAAATCCACTCACTTCGAACTGCTGATAAGTCTTTGCGGATGCCAACTAGTTTAATTGTAAAAGTATTGAGGGTAGTGTTCAAAATTTGATATCAGATTTCGTCTATATCATTATCTTTTATAGAGTTTTATATACAAATACAAAAAAAGACATAACTTGAAAGTGACTTGATTTAAAGACTTACATGAAGAGGATTAAATCAACTCAAATGTTAAGAACTAATTTAACGACTAATTACCCTTTGTATGAATTATATTAACGATTCTGATTTTGAAAAATCAAACTTATATACTGGTTCTTCCTTTGTTCCAATAATATTGCAACAAGCATGAATTTACACATCTCAAAGCACATTTATATGTAGACGAATATAACAAGATCCCACATGATTATATTTTACTTAATGTATATCATATAGTCATATTATATGTTCAATCAAAAGTGATCAATAGTGCAAAAGTCCCATTCTTGCAATATTCTTGGAACGGGGAAAGTATAAAACAAGCTACTTCTTCTATTATACCATTTCAACATATCAAGCTATATATATAGATTTTGTTTTGAAGAATAGAATATATCAAGTTATATAAATTACGCTAATTTCTTCTGTTCTACCAATGTGAATTAACTTCTTTATTAGAAGACTACTCTAACACTCGGATATACTATAACACTTAAAAAATGACTGACAAAATCAATTAGATAAGGATAATAATTGAAATGAATATTTCATTATGAAATGAAAGGGCGAGGGGGTAGAATATTTGGGTACTAACATTGTGAATAAGAAGATATATCAACCTCAAATATTCACGACAAATACAACACATAAAGTGGAAGTTCATGATCATATCCAAATCCGAATCTAATTTTTTCATAACTTCAAACAATCCAAAAATTGCAATGGAGTCAAAGTAAATCATCACTACTCAAGAAATGGATAAACTCTCTTCCAACTCCTTCTAGTGGCTCCCTTGATGTTGATGTCCAAACACATATTCACCACAATTCACACACACCAAACCAAAAATAAAAAAATAAATATAATAAATAAATACATAAAATGCAAATTCTTATAATACGTACGTGTGCGGGTTATTTCGTTAGTGTTATACTTCATAAGAGATACTCAATTAATGTTATAGGGGTTATTTTGTCAGTATTGTTAGGGTTACTTCATCAATATTACAAAATTACTAGGTCAATGTTATAAAAATTAAGGAGTACTTTTTATATTGCGGCCAGCCAGTGGCAGAACAAACATTTTAAAGGGATCGGGATTTGAATCTTTTGCCTCTCGCTTTAAACTAATCACTATGTTCTAATATTTTAAAAGTTTTACAAGGTTATTTAAGATTATTAACTAATTACAATAATTTATCAGGGGCGGAGTCCCAAATGATCCCGAGGTCTTCCTCTGCGGCCAGCCACCCACGAGACTCGCTAAAAAAAAGCTCCAAAAAAAAACAAATGAAGAAATTTCCAGCACCACGTGATCGAAGACGTACGTGTGAGTATTCACCTCACATCCCAAAAGAGGGCCCCACCATTACGGGCCCCAGCCGTGGCGAATCGATTTACTTGAATTTCCCAACTACCTGAAAATTTATTTATTTAATCTACATTTAGTTTAATTGAAAAAATTAAAAAATAAAAAGACAAAAAGTTCTGAAAAATCTCTGCAATTTCCATCTTCACTCAATTTCTCACCAGATTCATTCATTCACTCAATGATTTTCTCTCTCCTCTAATTCCGACGCCATGAAAGCCCTTCCTTAAGCTTTCTCTCTCTAAAATTCTCTCACTACCTCGATCTTATCGGAAACCCTAACTTTCATCCTCTTTCTCTCTCTAGAAATCTCGAATTGAATTGTTTTACCAGTCATATTAGTTGAAGTTGACTACTATTTTGTAGTTTTTCTGGCAATGCAAGTCTGCTGTAACTCGATAATCAGCCTCTCAAGGGAGGATTGTTTTGGAATTCGATCATTTTCTGCTCAAATTCATCAAATTCAGGAGATTTGCAGATTTCAATTTGATTGTTGTCACCGATTTTACTGTTACTGTAATGGCGGTCGCCGATTCTCATAATTCGATTCTTTGTAATGCCGGTGCCGGTGCTGCTGCTGGTATTGATTGTGGATTGTTTGATTTGAGTTTTCGAGTAGCGCGAATTTTTGATTGGATTGTTGATTTGAAATTGGGGGAGTTTTTTTGATTAATTTTTTGAATTGTGTTTTGCAGGTGTAATTGCAGCTTCTTTTGTTTGTCCTTTAGATGTTATTAAAACTAGACTTCAAGTTCATGGCCTTTCCACTCTTGGAAAGGGACCAGCAAAAGGTGCTCTTTTTTTAATGCTATAAATATTAAATTTTCTAGTGTTTTGTGCTTAAGGGAAGTCAATATTTAATGAGTATTTGAATTTTATTTGATGATTAATTTAACACTTGAATTTTTAATTTAATTAATTGTGGAATTAGAATTATGTTGGCTAGGCTAATTGTCGGAATTTTTAATTTTTGATGAGAATTGAGATAAAAGGTTAAATTGGTTGTAAATTCTTAATGTTTATGCCAGTTCAGTAGATTACAGTGTGGGAAAAATAGGAGATTAGGAAAAGAAGATTGGTTCATGTTTTTGGCTTTTTCTATTTGGGATTAATGGCTGATGATTAGAGGTCGCACTATACAAGTATACATGTTAGGGTTGTAAGCATTAAGTACTGTAAGGGGGATCATGTTTATCCAAATTGCTAGTGTTTGAAGTAAGGTGATTTAGAGTGAGGGATAGCTCAGATGGTTAGAGCTTCCCTTTGAAGTAACTTGATTAGAGTGAGGGATAACTTAAATGGTTGGAGCTTCCCTCCTGATTTCCGGGTTCTTGGGATCGATTCTCATCACCCGCCCTTATAAATTCTTAATGTTTGATGAGAATTGAGATAAAAGGTTGAATTGGTTATAAATTCTTAATGTTATATGCCAGTTCAGTTTATACAGTGTAGGCAAAATTGGAGATTAGGAGAAGAAGATTGGATCATGTTTGTTGCTAACTTGCTACTTCTATTTGGAATTAATAGCTGGTGATTAAAGATTGTGCTATACATGTAAGCATTCAGTACCTTAGGGGGCGGGGGGGGGGGGGGGGGGGTTCATGTATTTAAACTGCTAATATTTGAAGTAATGTTAGTAAAGAGGTTACCTTTTAGTAAGGATAACATGATGTCAAAGGATAGGATTTTGAATAAATTTTAGGAACTCAAGGAGAAATCTGTGGCCGATTGTGATGGTTTATAGAGAAATATAGATGCAAATGAAAGTTTGATCTTTTGCTAAATGCCTGTTATACTTAGAAAGGGCATGCCATCCTCATTTCGTTAGAACGTAGACCGGGAAGGCAGGAATTGTATGCCTTTTCAAAATCCCCTTAAACATTTGCAGGTGTCCTGTGTAAATTCCTCTGTTTAATTTATTACTATTTTTCTTAGGTTTTCTTTTTAAGGTTGTTTACTGCTTCTTAACTTGTTAATGATTATTTTCCCTACGCATGTGAAATGTCATTGTAAAGCTTTGGCTTCCTTAGCAATCAACATTCTTATTTCAACTGTTTTGTTTTTCCAATGTCTGACGTTTGGAATTTTATTTCAAACAGGTAGCATCATTGTATCTAGTTTAGAACATATATTTTATAAAGAGGGCTTGCGTGGAATGTATCGTGGTCTCTCTCCTACTGTCTTGGCTTTGCTTCCTAATTGGGCGGTAAGTGGCACCGTTTTCATGGTACTTGAAACATGGTTTATATTTTTTGTGAGTGCAATTTCTCATGGTAGCTCTGAAGACAAGTTATCATTGTGAATGTTTATTAAACACAGTTTTGTAAAAATTTATCATTTATAATTTTTCTTTTCCTCTTGATTGTAGATACACTGAGACAAGCTCATGTTTCAATATAAAGAGTGATTTTGTAGATTTTGTAAAAATCATGGGAAACAGGAAGTGGTTGAGTGAAAGGCTTAAGCTTTTAGTTTCCTGATACTTTTATTGATCTTATACATCTTGAAATGATGTGTTAAGACGTTCCCGGTGAATATAATGGTGGT